AAAGTAGACACCCCAAGGAATTTGAAAATAAGCATTGTAAGTATTTTGCAGATCTCATTTATTGCCGCAAGTTTTTGGAAAATGAAGAGAAAAAAAAAACATATTTTTTCTATTTTATTTTATATTTCAAAACCTTTAAAAAAAAAAAGTGAGATCTGCAAAATACTCACCATGCCTCTTTTTAAATTCCTTGGGGTGTCTACTTTCCAGAAAGGGGTAATTTGGGGGGGGGGGGGGGTTGGTGCTATCCTGCAATGTCTGCGCCTTCGAAACTGTGATAGGTGTTGAGGAAATGAAATGAGGAAGTTACGCACCTTCAGGCTTTCAAAGTGGTCTTTGCATCTCAGACTCCTGTATGTGGCTAGGCTCCCAAAAAGTCTCACACATGTGGTATCCCCATACTCGGTAGAAGTAGCAGAATGTATTTTGGGGTGTAATTCCACATATACCCATGGCTTGTGCGAGACATAAGTAATTTAAATTACAACTTTGTGTAAAAAAATATTTTTGTCATTTTACAGAAACTTGTGAAAAAAAAATAAATCTTCCATGGACTCAATATGCCTCTCAGCAGATAGCTTAGGGTATCTACTTTCCAAAAAGGGGTCATTTGAGGGTGTTTGTAATATCCTGGTATTTTAGCACCTCAAGAAATGTGATGAGCAGTCAGAAAGTAAAAGCTGTGTAAATTCCATTATCTATACCATAGTTTGTAGATGCTATAACTTTAACACAAAGCAATAAATATACACTTATTGGGATTTTTTAACCAAAAACATGTAGCAGAATACATTTTGGCTTAAATTTTTTAGTTTTTTTTGGATATTTTTTATGACCGAAATGAGAAAATATTGTTTTTTTCAAAAACATTTTTATTCTTCAAAAATATTTTTGTTTATAGCGCCAAAAATAAAAAGTGCACAGGTGATCAAATACCACCAAAAGAAAGCTCTATTTGTGTGAAAAAAGGACATAAAATTAATTTATATGTACCCTATTGCATGACCGCGCAATTGTCTGTTAAACTAGCGCAGCTCTGAATAGCACAAAAATGGCATAAATTACAGTATCTATACCATAGTTTGTAGACGCTATAACTTTCACACAAAGCAATCAATATATACTTAGTGGGATTTTTTTTACCAAAAACATGGAGCAGAATACATTTTGGCCTAAATTTATAATTAGCTTTGAGTTTGCTTTATGTTTTCTATAGTTGAAAGTAAAAAATATAGTTTTTCTTCAAAATTTTTGGTCTTTTTTTGTTTATAGCGTGAAAAATAAAAAGCGCACAGGTGATCAAATACCACCGAAAGAAAGCTCTATTTGTGTGAAAAAAGGACGTAAATTTGGTTTGAGTACAGCATTGCATGACCGCGCAATTATCAGTTGAATTAGTGCAGCGCCAAGTAGCAAAAAGAGGCTTGGTCAGGAAGGGGGGTAAATCCTTAGGAGTGCAAGTGGTTAATATGTCAAGCCTCAAAATTGCATGTTAATATGTCAAGCCTCAAAATAGCAAAAAAACATGGAACTAAAATTATCAATGAGCAAGGCTTTAAAAATTTAATCAGTTTAGATTAAATATAAAGGATGACCTTAGAATTATATATTTATAAAATATGCGTGGTGCAATTACAGTTTGCATACACATGGTTATACCATGCATGTTATATATCGCATTTTTAAATTTAATTTAATTGCTATCACAAAGGGCATAACAAGCCTCTTATGCGATAGCATTGGGCAGGTGACAAGTATCCTTTGGAGAGACATTGGGGGTTTATTAGACCCCCAATGTCTTCCCTGTCTTCCACTGAAGCTAATCAAGCACAGATCATGCTATACAGGGACAAGCTATGAGAATGAATAATAGCTAGGGCAGGGGCGGACTGACAACTCATGGGGCCCCCGGGCAATAGGGGATCATGGGGCCTCTGGGTCCTTGCCCAAACTCAAAAAAGCCTATGAAAAAGGTACAAGGGGCATCTCATGGGGCCCCCTCTAATGACCCCGGCCCCTGGGCAGTGCCCGAGTTTCCAAATGGACAGTCCGCCCCTGGCTAGGGGAATTGATCAGCCATGATACTAGAAACTGCAGCCACATCCTGTGAAACCATCATTGCAAGGTAAGGCAAACAAATGACACAGGGTATATAACTACACTAATAACAAAAACATTTGAAAGTGTATCATGCTCTTAAGGCCTTGTTCACACCATGGAGCAGAGACATAAGTTTTTACTGTATGCATTCTGCAAGGACACAAAGAAAACAATTGTTCTCAATGTGCCCTATTCATATCGCAACACTAGTATCACGTGCAAATTTTTTCTCCACAGGAATCTGCAATATGTATAAAAGTCACTGAAATGTGCATGAAAACTGAATTAAACTCATGTCTCTTCCAGAAAAATCTGCACCTTTTTTTTTATCAGTTTGTTTGCACGTATGGTGTGAACAAGGCCTAAGTATTTGAGTATTTGACTGACTTCCATCCAATGGTTTGCTATGATTACTTAAGCTGGCCATACATGGATCAAAGTTCAGCCCGTTAAGCAGGGGCCATCCAAATTTGGATTTATGTTTAGTTACTGTGGTTGAACAGAAGTCAATCTACCAATTGACTTTTGTTCAACTACCATGTTGGATTTTTGCAGCCCGACCAGCGCTGCAGGTTATAAGCTGCATTGCTGATCTGTGCACTCTGATGGCAGGGAAGCCTCCCCACTGTCAGAATACAATGAAACAGTGGGGAGGAATTTTCCACATTGAGTGTGTTGGTGGAGGGATCGGTTCAGTTTATTTTTTGTTGTTCAGTCCGCTGGTTGAACAGAAAATCTGACTAATGTGTGGGCAGCTTTGCTTATTTGGCAACCTCCACTGAGTCAATTGTGACATATCTTTTAATAGTAATGGTGGATGGTTATGAAATAACTACATTTATGTCCCTTCATCATCTAAAAATATTAAACTATTACAGTCTGTAGTCTACAAATGCTAAGTAATTTTCTTACATTATGGATGCATCCAAAGGAATTCCAAATTAACTTTGTGTGAGCAAAAAAAAACCAAATATGCAGTACTACATCTCTGTGATACATAGTGGTCTGACAATGCTACCTCTGCTGCACTGAAATCCAAAGTAAATACAAAGGGGTTGATTGACTAAAACTGGAGAGTGCAAACTCTGCACTGCATAGGAACCAATCTGTCAGGAATGGACTGGCCAGCTATGGTGGGACTCACCTGCCTTTTGATCTGCAGTACCAGGGCTGGCCAGCGGGTGTTCCCAGCAATCAGAGACTCAACTTTGCAGCCAGCTAACACCTGTAACTGATTATGCTGGGGTATTTAAGGGATGGCCAGACCCACAGACTCTGCCTTGGTGTGTGTTTGTCCTGGGCCCTGTATCCTGTTTCTGTCCTGCATCCTGTTTCTGAACCGCTGCTGACTTCTCCTGCTCTGATCCCGGCTCGCTCCTGACCATCCCTCTGTCTGACCCTCTGTACCACGCTGCTTGCTACCTGTTCTGATCCCTGGCTTGTGACCCTGACCAATCTCCGCTTGCTCCCCCTGTACCTACCTGCCCTATTGATATTGACCCGGCCTGCCTGACGACGCTTGCTTGTATGTACTGTTATCTGTGGGTGGTTTGGTTTGGTTTGTTTGCACTGTATTATGTTTTAGTATTGCACTGCGTTTATGTTTGTATTGTTAGTGTTAATAAATTATATTGTTTATAACATATCTGAGGTCTGCGTTTCCCTGCGTCAGTCACACATCTCTGGTCACACCTGGGAGCCCTGACATTACACCAAGGCCAATCCTGACCAGAAGTGGCTGCACAGGGAAGCCATCTTGGCTTGTTGATGGGAAGGATGGATCTGGATGAGGTTGAGTATTTATCTCTGCTAGTGCTTGATGACAGAGAGTATGCTTATCAGACTCTGAAGGAGTATCCCCGGGATGAACTGCTAGAATGTATACGGCTCGCTCATGTTCTAGTAGATCAGGGCACAGATTTCTCTATGGTGCAGCCATTGATTCAGGTTTGTGTTGAGTTGGTTTCATCTGGTTCCCCCGAATGCAGGGATGAATTTTTGCCACCATTTAGTGCAGACCAGGTTGAGTCCCTGGTGTGGTTATTAGAGGATGATGTGGGTTACTTTCTGGAGCGTTATTCCACATGTTCACCACAGACACTAAGAGATTGTATAAATGCAGTGCAGTCATTGACCAGACAGGCTTTGTGTAAGCTCAGCTTTGTTCAACCCATACTGCAGACATGGACAGACTTGTTGCACCCAGCCTCAGTCAGCTTACAAAAACCCAGTCCCTGCTTCTAACTCCTCCTGTATTCCCACCAGCTCCTCCAGTTTACAGCCCAGTATACTTGGCTATCTACCGCATGTCAGTACCCTGTTCCCACTCGCTGCACCTATCCTGCCTTTAACCCTGTAAAAAAAGCCCTCTGTAGCAACTGTTCCCTCTCCTGTTCCATCCTCCAGTTTTTCTCTGTCTCCAGCTGCTCCATTCGTTTGCAGACCTGCGTTTACTTGCAGTGCTCCAGTAGTTAAAACCAGAAAAAAGCGAAAATTCTTTCCAACCCAATACCATCCTGCCAGTATCCAAACCGGTGAACCTGCCTTCCGTGACTCAGCCTGAAGCCTCTACTCAGCCGGATGCCTCTCTTCAGCCGGATGCCTCTCTTCAGCCTGATGCCTCTCTTCAGCCTGATGCCTCTCTTCAGCCTGATGCCTCTCCTCAGCCTGATGCCTCTCCCTCAGCCTGAAGCCTCTCCTCAGCCTGAAGCCTCTCCTCAGCCTGAAGCCTCTCCTCAGCCTGAAGCCTCTCCTCAGCCTGATGCCTCTCCTCAGCCTGAAGCCTCTCCTCAGCCTGAAGCCTCTCCTCAGCCTGAAGCCTCTCCTCAGCCTGATGCCTGCATTCAGCCTGATGCCGCTACTCAGCCTGATGAACTGATCCAGCCCGACGATCCTATTAGGCCAGTTGACTCGATGCCCGCTGTTGATCCAGATGATCCGGTACCTGATCCAGTGCCCGCTGTCGTGCCAATTGACTCAGAGCCCGCTGTCATACCTGGTGACCCGGTGCCCACTGCCTTGCCAGATGACGCGGTGCCCGCTGGCAAGCCAAATGACCTGATGCCTGGTGACCCAGTGCCCGCTGTCATACCTGGTGACCCGATGCCCGCTGTCGAGCCAGACAATCCGATACCTGATGACCCGGTGCCCACTGTCGTGCCCCTGTTGACTCGGAGCCCACTGTCTTGCCAGACGACTCGGGTGCCCGCTGTTCCGCCAGACGACTTGGTGCCCGCAGTCTTGCCTGACGACTCGGTGCCCGCAGTCTTGCCAGACGACTCGGTGCCCGCAGTCTTGCCAGACGACTCGGTGCCCGCAGTCTTGCCAGACGACTCGGTGCCCGCAGTCTTGCCAGTTGACTCGATGCCCGCAGTCTTGCCAGACGACTCGGTGCCCGCAGTCTTGCCAGACGACTCGTGCCCGCTGTCTTGCCAGACGACTCGGTGCCCGCAGTCTTGCCAGACGACTCGGTGCCCGCAGTCTTGCCAGTTGACTCGGTGCCCGCTGTTCCCGCAGTTGACTCGGTGCCCGCTGTTCCGCCAGTTGACTCGGTGCCGCTGTTCCGCCAGTTGACTCTGCCCGCTGTTCCGCCAGTTGACTCGGTGCCCGCTGTCTTGCCAGACGACTCGGTGCCCGCAGTCTTGCCAGACGACTCGGTGCCCGCAGTCTTGCCAGACACTCGGTGCCCGCAGTCTTGCCAGACGACTCGGTGCCCGCAGTCTTGCCAGACGACTCGTGCCTGCTGTTCTGCCAGTTGACTCGATGCCCGCTGTTCCGCCAGTTGACTCGGTGCCCCCGCTGTTCCGCCAGTTGACTCGGTGCCCGCAGTCTTGCCAGACGACTCGGTGCCCGCAGTCTTGCCAGACGACTCGGTGCCCGCAGTCTGCCCGCAGTCTTGACTCGTGCCCGCAGACGACTCGGTGCCCGCGCAGTCTTGCCAGACGACTCGGTGCCGCAGTCTTGCCAGACGCAGCAGCCTTGCCAGACGACTCGGTGCCCGCAGTCCCGCCAGTTGACTCGATGCCCGCTGTTCCGCCAGTTGACTCGGTGCCCGCAGTCTTGCCAGACGACTCGGTGCCCGCAGTCTTGCCAGACGACTCGGTGCCCGCAGTCTTGCCAGACGACTCGGTGCCCGCAGTCTTGCCAGACGACTCGGTGCCCGCAGTCCCGCCAGTTGACTCGATGCCCGCTGTTCCGCCAGTTGACTCGGTGCCCGCAGTCTTGCCAGACGACTCGGTGCCCGCTGTTCCGCCAGTCGACTCGGTGCCCGCAGTCTTGCCAGACGACTCGGTGCCCGCAGTCTTGCCAGACGACTCGGTGCCCGCAGTCTTGCCAGACGACTCGGTGCCCGCAGTCTTGCCAGACGACTCGGTGCCCACTGTTCCGCCAGTTGACTCGATGCCCGCAGTCTTGCCAGACGACTCGGTGCCCGCAGTCTTGCCAGACGACTCGGTGCCCGCTGTTCCGCCAGTTGACTCGATGCCCGCTGTTCCGCCAGTTGACTCGGTGCCCGCAGTCTTGCCAGACGACTCGGTGCCCACTGTCGTGCCTGGTGACTCGGTGCCCGCCGCTTCGTCTGGGGGCCCGAGACCTGTTGCTCCGCCTGAGGGCCCGAGACCTGTCGCTCCATCTGGGGGTCCAGCGCCCGCCGCTCCGCCTGAGGGCCTGAGACCTGTAGCTCCGCCTGGGGGTCCGGCGCCCGCCGCTCCGCATGGGGGTCAGGCGCCCGCCGCTCCGCCTGGGGGCCCGATGCCTGTTGCCCCGCCTGGGGGCCCGATGCCTGTCGCCCCGCCTGGGGGCCCGATGCCTGTCGCCCCGCCTGGGGGCCCGATGCCTGTCGCCCCGCCTGGGGGCCCGAGGCCTGTCGCCCCGCCTGGGGGTCCGAGGCCTGTCGCCCCGCCTGGGGGTCCGATGCCTGTCGCCCCGCCTGGGGGTCCGATGCCTGTCGCCCCGCCTGGGGGTCCGATGCCTGTCGCTCCGCCTGAGGGCCCGAGACCTGTCGCTCCTTCTGGGGGTCCGGCGCCCGCCGCCCCGCCTGGGGGCCCGAGACCTGTAGTTCCGCCTGGGGGTCCGGCGCCCGCCGCCCCGCCTGGGGGTCCGGCGCCCGCCGCCCCGCCTGGGGGCCCGAGGCCTGTCGCCCCGCCCGGGGGCCCGATGCCTGTCGCCCCGCCCGGGGGCCCGGTGCCTGTCGCTCCGCCTGGTGGCCCGCTGCCTGCTGCTTCGCCTGGTAGCCCGATGTGCCTCTGCTGCCCAGGGTCCTGCCCGATGTGCCTCTGCCCGGAGTCCTGCCCGATGTGCCTCTGCCCGGAGTCCTGCCCGATGTGCCTCTGCCCGGAGTCCTGCCCGATGTGCCTCTGCCCGGAGTCCCGGCCCGATGTGCCTCTGCCCGGAGTCCGGCCCGATGTGCCTCTGCCCGATGTGCCTCTGCCCGGAGTCCAGCCCGATGTGCCTCTGCCCGGTGTGCTCTGCCCGGTGTGCCTCTGCCCGGAGTCCAGCCCGATGTGCCTCTGCCCGGAGTCCAGCCCGATGTGCCTCTGCCCGGAGTCCAGCCCGATGTGCCTCTGCCCGGAGTCCAGCCCGATGTGCCTCTGCCCGGAGTCCAGCCCGATGTGCCTCTGCCCGGAGTCCAGCCCGATGTGCCTCTGCCCGGACTCCAGCCCGATGTGCCTCTGCCCGGAGTCCAGCCCGATGTGCCTCTGCCCGGTGTACCGCTGCCCGGAGTCCTGCCCGGTGTGCCAGTCTTTGATATCCCGCCAGTTACCAGACCCGGGCGGTGGAACATTTTTCCCAGCTAGGACTGTTTGGAGCGTCCTGAGGCCGCTCCTTGAGGGGGGGGTACTGTCAGGAATGGACTGGCCAGCTATGGTGGGACTCACCTGCCTTTTGATCTGCAGTACCAGGGCTGGCCAGCGGGTGCTCCCAGCAATCAGAGACTCAACTTTGCAGCCAGCTAACACCTGTAACTGATTATGCTGGGGTATTTAAGGGATGGCCAGACCCACAGACTCTGCCTTGGTGTGTGTTTGTCCTGGGCCCTGTATCCTGTTTCTGTCCTGCATCCTGTTTCTGTCCTGCATCCTGTTTCTGAACCGCTGCTGACTTCTCCTGCTCTGATCCCGGCTCGCTCCTGACCATCCCTCTGTCTGACCCTCTGTACCACGCTGCTTGCTACCTGTTCTGATCCCTGGCTTGTGACCCTGACCAATCTCCGCTTGCTCCCCCTGTACCTACCTGCCCTATTGATATTGACCCGGCCTGCCTGACGACGCTTGCTTGTATGTACTGTTATCTGTGGGTGGTTTGGTTTGGTTTGTTTGCACTGTATTATGTTTTAGTATTGCACTGCGTTTATGTTTGTATTGTTAGTGTTAATAAATTATATTGTTTATAACATATCTGAGGTCTGCGTTTCCCTGCGTCAGTCACACATCTCTGGTCACACCTGGGAGCCCTGACACAATCAGCTTCCATGTTTTATTGTCAAAGCTTAATTGAACAAGCTGAAGTTAGAAGCTGCTTGGCTAGTATGCACAGTTGCACCTGATTTTGCATTCTAGTTTTAGTAAATCAACCTCAAAGTGTTAGACTTGCCAAAGTTCTCCCATGCTGGAGCACAAATCGACTCCCCCTTTCCTCATTTTCAGAACCCTTTCTTGTTTCCATTCTCAGAACTCCTTCTGTACTGAAAAGTTAGTTGGGGTAGTTGTTTTATAGTCCAACAGAGAACTTGGGGAGGGCTGACAACACTACCTGGGATTTCAGAAAAACAGAGGTGGCATTGTCAAGTCAATACAGGAAGCTAGGAGTTTATGGGATTTTTGGTGGGATCATGAAATGTTTTTCAGTACTTGCAGTGTTTTTAAGGCAACAATATTACTTTTTAAATAATGTTGCCCAGATATTATATGCACTTATGTAACTCCTCCCAAAAATCCAAGAACATGGGATCTTCCCTGAACACTCTATTAAACAACAGCTTAGTCGTTTTTGTGGTCTCATATTTTCCATGCATCTGGCTTTCATATCCTTGACCTAGAAATTTGGTCTATAGATCTTACCAGCTTAATCATTCTCTATTTCCTAATCAACAGACATCCCCTCCCCTTTTTAGTTGCCCTGTCTAGTTGACTGCTGCCTTTCCCTGATCGTTTGCAGGTTGTAATTAGGCTTCAGGCTAGTGAAAGCCCTGTGGCCTGCCAGCGACCCAACAAGAAACACGGCAGTATCATAACTAGGAGGCTGTTGTCTGTCTGGTTGATATAATTTTTCAGATGACCGTATATGATCAAAGCTCTAGTGGTTAAAGTAACTGAAGAAAGCATTATTTCCATGTTTAAAGAAGATCTGGGGTTATGGGTCTGGGAATGTGCAAGTCACTGAACTGTGAAAGTGTAGACAAGAAAAGATATTTAAATTTAGCTTTCAAATAGTAGCATACATCCTACATGTTACACATGCTCTGTTCAAATGATATCCAAAATATACAAACTTTTCCTGCAAGGCAGTACTAAGTGCATTGCCATTTACAAAACACAGAAAGCCATAATATCCAGCCAGCTTTCAGTAGACTGTGGTCAGATCTGTTAACAGAAGCCAGGGAAATTTAAATGCCGCCTTCCACGCTACAGCTGGCCTCACACCTGTAAAATTTTGTTAATTTGTTTTGTTTTTTTTTTTAATTCTTGATTTAAATCAAACAAGCATGCCCATACATACAAAAAGAGAGATAAAATAAACTACAAACAATTTGAATCCAATCAGTAATCTACTTTTAACCTGAATACAAACATATTTGAAGTTACAAAAGGCTCCACCTTGGTTGGAACAAGGTCTGCTTAACACTTAAAAAGAGCAAGCTACAGGGATATAAAATGTTTGAGAAATTTTTGGTATAACACTAGAGAAGCCAGGGAGATTTGAATGCCTCCTTCCACACTAAAGAATTTTGTTAGAAAATTGTTGGTTCGATCATCAAGGAGTTAAAGGAGATGATTTGACAACTGGTTTCAACCAGAGCAAACACAAAAATTGAACAAGAATGGAAAATTTCATCCAATTTAATGGGAATGAGCATATTTTTAATAGTTGAAAAATTGTAACCAGTCTTATGCACATCCAACTGGCAAAGTTAATCTGGAAGTAGAATGTTTGTTCTGCAAAAAATAGAGATATTGACATGGTACTTGAACAAACAGTTGTTTGAAATTGGGATGAAGGTACCATCATATATACTTTCTCTAAATTTTACAGGTGTAAGGCCAGCATTAGAAAAAAGAGGAAATGGACAGGATGCAAAAACAAGTGTCAGAAATATGAAAATCCTGTGAGAATCAGGACTTTTGGAAGATATGGTAAACCTCTCAAGTACAGCCACAAACATAAAACAAATATAAAGTAA